ATAAAAAAATAATTTTTGCCCAAAGTATTTGGGCAATTTCGGCTACTAATAGAAGCAGTTTCGGCCAGAAACCTTAGACGCTAAATGGTTTTAGGAGGTTGGTGCATATTGCGGCTGTTCGGTCAGCACACCTCTTGGCAATTCTTTTTGATGAGGTGCCTATAACGTCTGTGACATTATCTTCATTTCGCCTCTTTCCTAAAGTATTAGTCACATCGCTCAAGGCTACAGTATCCCTCCACAAGTTGTTTACCTTTCTGATAGAAGACTTTATAAAAGAAAAAAATTATGTGAGAAATAATTCTCAGTAAGCATAATCAGCAAAAAGACTGAGATGGCCAGATGCGAGATATAGCAATCCAAAGCTTCTTTGTTGTGTTATAAAGGAAGATACATAACTGATTCCTTCTCCAGAATCAGTAGACCTTTAACAAAGAACTTGTATTGCTAAATCCCATGCGTTAATCAGGATGGATCCGAAAAACAGGCATCTGATTCAGCGCTTGTGGAAGATAAACCTTCACCCCCTACCAGAACGCATCCAATAAGGCACAAGTACCTGGCTAAAAGCCACCATCCACATAAACTTATCACCTTATCATAATTACCGTTTTATTTTTTAATAGTGAATTGGCAACACTGTGGATCTCTTGTGACGCGTATAAATCGTTCTGGATATCGCAACGCGATGTGCTTTGTCTTTTCTAGCATACTTGTAGTTATCGGTGATTGAGGTGATATAGTGGTGAAGTGACCACTTCTCGTAGGGGAAGAATTCGAAATATTTGGCGTAAGGAACATTTGCAAATGAATCGCTTTGCACAAGACTTCCAAGAGTAGCCATGGTATATATATAATGTTAGCAAGAAAATAATAAGAAAACAGTTGATTCTGAAATAAAAAACTTGGACTTGGACAAAAAAAAAGGCAGATATGAAACACGAAAAAAAACAGTCGCGAAAATCATGTTCTCAAAACAAAAGGAACATGATTTTCATACAAATAGTTAAATCATGTGCGCGTTACAATTTGTAACACCGATCACTTTCAGTAATTTATCAATGTTTATAATATTAATTAGGATTAAAGCAAACTGTAAATTATTGTTTTCAAGAGCAATTGTGTTTATCTATTTATTGGTTATGATTTTTCTTTCTTCTTGGTGAACTTCAGAGGTAATTCTTTCTTTATCTAAATATTCTTGAATAGTTTTGGTATCATTTATCTCGGAAACATAAGGAGCAACTTTTTCCCTTTGTTCTTTTTTCAAATCCTCCCGATAGTAATGTAATTTTTGGGTTCCATAGTGGATCTGATTTAGATTATCTTCATATTTATGACTCTATGTAGGGATAGGCTCGTGTGAATTATTGCTATTGCTTTCCTTATCTATGCTTTCCTTGAAAGTAAAAACTCCAAACATCTTTTGCTTCCCAACAAGAAAAAGAGAACTTGAGTATTGTTGGTTGCGCTCACCATTTTTGCCTCGTATTTATGACTTCCAGTTTAGCTTGATGAATCTATTGGGCTACTAATAATTCCTTTGATTTTGAGCATGGGTTTTGATACTTACTTTTTACAACTTTACTTTGTTTTCGAAAATAGTTTGGAATGTAAACCTTGGTCTTTTAGGAGTTATTTCTCCTATATTTTTTATTCTGGAGACATTGATTGGCAAGCAAGCGAGATGCGCTAACTTGGTATTTTTTGACTTTGAGGTTAACTACACATAATAGTAAATACAACAATGACGTTAAAAATGCACTTGAAATGCCTTTGTTGCGGCTTCCATTCTCCTTGGTGTATACTTTATCAATTTCAATAGGACATAATTTTGGGGGATCATTTTGTTGATTTGTGACAAGACCTTCTCCACAAAGATACCTTTTAATAGTGTCAGAGACACTCTTGGATTTATGAAATCCTGCAAATATAACTTTGAGAACCTAAAACATCATGTTATATTTATTTTGTGAAATTATATGGATGACCTTTGTCAAAAAAAATTTTGTTTCTATATGGCCGAGCAAACCTGCAATGTTAGCACAAGCTGGTTTGATAGTTCACGAGCCAATTTAAAGACAACTCGAGCTTGGCTCATCTCGTACAGAGCTTTATTGATGAAGAGAGTCAACTACATGTCATATCGTCTTCTCTCTCGTCTTGATGAAATCAAACCTTCACATATATAGTAATTTATTAGCTAAGACGATCATTACTATTTTAATAACGTCATAATTAATTATTCAAAATCCTTTAAAAAAATTATAATAATAAAAATAATAAAATAAAAAATGTCTTCCGTTAAAACACGTATTTTACCTAAACGTAAAGTTAGTTCTTTGGCAAATGTTTTGGTTGAAGAAGTTGCAGCTGAAGAAGGTTTGTCATTCATTCTGAAGAATACTTTTTTTTTTTTTTTTTAAAAAATCAAAAAAAAATTCTAAATTCAATGTGTGTGTATGTATATATATATATTATATACCTTTTATAATATTTAATTAATAAGCAGCCCATTATGAAGAAGATGTAATCGATGGTAACACATTACTTTTAATTACCACCAACAATGAAATATTGAAAACTTGTGAAGTTATTGAGGGAAATGATGTTGGGAAAGATGATAGACCAGTAAAAAATGTTAAAGAAATCTCCACGCCAAGTTTTAAGAAATGGGTTGGTGATGGTAACGATGATGATGGAATCAATGAGGTAAATATTTATATTTATTAATACATATCATAAAGAAAAATAAAAGGGTAATAAATATCAGTACGACTATAAATATATTAATTTTACAACATTAAAAACTAAAAAGGAGGATATATCAGACAAAGCATATGAACGTCGTCATAAGAAGTTCGAATTGTCAGAAAAGAAATTAAAGAATCGGGAAAAAGAAAGGCTGCAGTACGAGAGATACCAGCAGCAGTTGGCAGTTGAGAAGTTACGTAACACTGACTCTAAGACCTTGATGTCAGTTGCCTCCTTACGAAGTAACGAACCAGCTAATAATGATATGATCAGGCTTGAAACAGTGCGTGAAAAATTGTTAAAAGAAGCGGAGGATCAATTGGCAAGGTATGATTCGTTAGGATTAGGAGGGTTAGGAAAAGGAAAAAATGGTGGAATTGGAATGAAGAGGAAGAGGAGTAGTAATACTGTTGGTAGTAGTGGTGATGGTAGTAATAGTAATATTAATGATGAAGTGGTAAATGATATTAAGATTGACGATGAAGCAGAAGAAATAAAAATCAAAAGACCACGAATAAAAAAGAACAACACTATTAGTGGGTCATTCATCAATCCAAATGTACTTGTTTCAACTGCTTCAAGGAAGAGTGCGCGTACACGTACAACAATGGTTGTGTTTGGAATAAAAATTCAAACCAAAAGGTCTAAAAAACAACCACCCAAAGAACTATTTGGGCCACCATCACCGATATATGATGAGATGCTAATGGAATGTGATGAATGGAGGTTAAATGAACATGAAAAACAAGTTGAGGCTAACAAAGAACTTAATAACTTTACAATAGCCAATCCAATATAATATATAACATTTAGCAGTATCTAAATTTTAATAATGGACATTAATTATTGGAGCATGTTTTTTTTTTTCATTAATTTATGAATATTGCAACATTTTATTATTTTTAATTAATTGCTTAGTTTTTTTTATATAAATAAATGTAAATAGTTTTTTTTACTCTAGAAAATAAAAAATAAAAATTATTAATGTGTGTATGTATATATGTATATATATATAATAAATTTGTTTGTGTATTTAGCAATTTTAGTGTTAACCAGCGCTGATTTTTTGTCAAGGATTCAGATCAGTAATGATATTATTCCATTCTGCGTTGTTGCCTATAGCGTCAATTCAATAATCATACTGTGTATAACATCGGCACATAACTAATACTAGTGACCCGCTATTAACAGATTGCATAATCCTTGCTGCTGTGAGTAATGTATCTGGACACACAATGTTAATCTAGTATTGCTTCTGCTGCCATTTGTGTGATTGCTGATTATTATAATAATGACAACAATTATTTCCTTTTGATGATTCATAACCTCTATTTCATGTATATTATTGTTCTTTCTTAATTTTTTTTGCAACTATTCATTAAAAGTGAATAACGACAACTCTATTCTTGATGCATAAAAATATAAAATTTTAGTAAAGCCTTTTGTTCTTTAAGTTTTTCACTGATGCAGGCATTGTGCTAAATTTGGTCTTTTTTATTGAGAATTTCTTTTAAAAAGCTTCAAATTTTAAACTGCCATCATCATGGACAATCTATTCTTGTTGATTAATGCTACTAATATCATTCGATTTAATAAACCTATATACTTATTGTAAATTACCTGATGCATTAATCTAGATCTATTAAAGAAGCAACCTTGTGTTACTTATAAAAAACCCAACTATTTATTTCATGAGTAAAAATATATGGCCAAGTAAATATGTTATTTGCACAGCTTTGCAAGAGTTATCAATCTCAGGAAAACGACAATTTCCAATAACGAGTATTATAAATTTGAACGCATCTACCTCTATATAAAACAAATAAAATTTATAATCACGTATTGACCATCTTATCCTCTTGTGACTCAAAATTCGTGTAACAAAATTTTTTAGATCACAAAGTAACGTGCGAATTTTAAGTTAAACGTCGCAGTGAGACAAAACGACGGATTGTTTTTCTTCGCAAGAGCAGGAGCAGTAAACGTCAATTAACTAAATATTAAAAAAGGAGATTTTCGGTCATTTTTCATATAGAATTTGTTTAAAAAAAGGAATTTTCAAGTAGTTAAAGTTAAAGTTAACGTCAACGTCGTCCATCATTTACGTTAATGTTAACATTAAGTTAGCCACTGCATTTGCATTTTTTTTTTTGCAATATATATTAAAAAAAAAAAAAAAGGTTTAACAAGCTATTTAATATTAATATTAATATTTTAAAGTTAAATACGTCGCATTAAATTAAATTCAACTATTAATAATTCTATATTAACATAGAAAAAGAAAAAACAGAAATTATTATTTATGTTAATAAAAATAAATACATTATAAAAACAAATTTATATAAAAATATTATTTAGTACTAACCTAGCTACATATTCTTCAAGTTGTTCTATTCCTTTGTTGAATTGTGAAATTATTATTGTATTGTTTAATAGTTCTTCTGGGAAAACACTTTTCCAATACTCGTACCTAAAAAGAATTACCTTATTATTATTCTAATAATTTTAAATAATATATAGCTTAAAGTATATATACATACCATTGTTTTAATTCAAAAAGTTCGGGATCACTTGTTATCCAAAGTTGTAAGGCATCCAACCATTTAGGAAAAAACTCTTCCGCAAATAATTGACTAAAAGAATCTGAAGTAAACATATCTTTCCAAATCATAACACAATCAAAGAGTTCTTTTAAAATGCAAATATATATATAAATGTCATTATTATTATTTATTTATTTATGAATAATTTATAGTAATAAATTTTATATAAAAAAAATTTCTACTCACTCATATCTTGATTTATAGAATTAACTTCAAATCTATTACGTAAAATATTTGCAAGTTTTGGTCTTACTGAACCAGCAAGGAGTTTATGCATCACTTCTTGCCTGAAAACCTATATATGAAATAAAACAATAAGCCATTAATTAATACATGAATTTTATAATAACAATTTACAAAAATATACAGCATGAACAATTTTTTTAAATACCTTATTCCATGGGTTTAATATTTTAAGACCTATTTCATCAATAGGATTCCATCTATTTTTCAAATAAGAGCCAAGTCTAACTTTAACTTGGTCAATAAGTTGGTTTATCAATTGCTCCTCTAGTAAAGGAAACCAAGGGAATATCCAAAGATGAATGTTCTCGAGTGAAATTTGTTCGTCTAATTTACGAAGTAATTTTGGTACAATTAATTGTGTAGTTATATTGTCATATATAAATTTCGGAAGAATAGGTTGCCAATTTGAGAGAAGCGTTACCACTGGATCATAATCTTGAACATCCCATTTATTCCTTTTAAGCATAAAAGTAAATTAACAAATTGATAAATTAATATTTTTCTTTAAATAATTTCTTAAAAGAAACCTACGTTATTGATGATTGTACTTTTGGAAGCCATATTGACCATAACATACTTTCATATGGTGACATTTTTTCTTGTCTAAAGAATAAAAACAAAATAATAGTAAATATAAATAGAATAAAAAATTATGCATAAACAAGTGAATAAATAAGAAACCTGTCTGTACGAGTAAGGTTAAGATGGGATGATTGAGTTACAGTAGGTAGACTTGTTCTCAATAATCTTTTCCATTGTAAAAATTCTGAATAAAAACTGTTTGGATCACTTAAAGGGTCCCAATCCATGAATTTAATCCTCAACTATTTTTTTTTAATAGAAATTTTTATTGTTGATTATTGATCTTAATTATTAATAAAATTTAAATCTGATTAATAATTAATAAACAATACTTACTACTGGTGCTATCATAGAAACAACCACAAAATCCAATTCAAAAGTTTTCCAATCATCCGAGTAACCTTCAAGCAATTTCTGAAAATGTTCTGAAAAAATCTCATTTAAGGAAGGAATCTCAGCTGAAATCATGGCATTATTTACACTAACTTGACAATCATTGATGATTTTCAAAAAATCTTTAAACTGCTTTATAGCTTCGATAAAGATAATAGAATAAAAAAATAAAAAAATGAAGAAATTATTTAAATAAAGTTTGAAAAAAATATATAATCAAAACCAAGTAATTATATATAATTACTTTTATCATCGAAACTACTATTTTTCTCCAATTGTTCTTTAGAAATTATCGCAGTTGATTTTCCAGTCATTGCTAGTTTTTGTTTTTCTGAGGTTTGCTCTAAATCAAGTTTAGACATATCAACTATTAATCGTAGATTATGACGTAATTCTATCAAGTATTTAGATCTTTCAGGAATAGGCATTGAAGTTATTTGACTTGTAGAAAGTTCGCGGATCTAATTAAGAACGTTAGGATTAAATGAAATATATGATAATAATATTATAAATTGCAACTAAAGTGTACCTGTGGTTGAGTCATATCAATTATCTTTTGGGGCTGTAGCGAAGGTGCTAATCCCACATCTCTTATTATTTCTTCAGCTGTTTTATAATTATCTTTCCTTTTCTTTTTTTGAGAAGATTTTTTCCATTCATTGGCTCTCTTCTCTACCTTACTTGATATTTCTATATCATCATCAGGTATTATTTTTCTAAAATAAAATAGTAAATTATCGACATGGATATATAATAAAAAAATCAAAGCTTGATTAATAATAATAAATAAATTTCCATACTCTCTAGATTTGCCTTTGTCTGTTTTTTCTGTAAATCCACGATAAGCCAATCCCATTTTAGAAGGTCGCAATTTTACTTCGATTGGATTAACTATACCACGTCCATCTGATCCAAGACCTCGACCCTTTTTATTTTTTATTTCAAAGAAAAAAAAAAATCAAATTGAGGCTAAAGAGATTTTAGGTTACAATTATTATGTTGAAAATAATTTTATATAATATAAATGACCACATACAGGAACGTAGCCCATTTTACTCATAATGTAACTTGCTGTTCCTTTTGTGTGCTTTTCGAAACTGGCAAAATCTTTATCAACAGCCTTAGGCTTAGAAAACATTGATGAACCAAGCCCTGGCCTTGAACCTTCTTCATCGCTATTATCAATCATGTTGAAAAACAGCAAATTCTCTTGACACTTTTGTCCTTTTCTTGGATATTAGATATAAAACAACTGTTGTGTAGATCATTGATATTTTTATGTAGATCCTAATAAAAAACCAACATCCTTTATGGATGGATCGGCATTACACACATTTACATAATAGACAGATCAACAATTTATGTAAAATCGAAAAAAAGTATATACCACTTAGAAAAATGGCACTGCACAGACCGTATAACACCCACCACCTCAAAATTTATACTTCCTGAGCGAAATTGGATTTCAATAACAAAGTTGCTCTAAATTTGTCATAACATCCAAATTTCTGATGATCTACATTTTAACTTAACGCGTAACATAAAAAATAAAACTAATATATTAATATAGATAATTAAAGCAATAATGAATAAATAAATATTGCTAACTATCATTTATCATTAATAAAATGAATAAAGGTGTAAGCCGAAAAAATTTTGGTCCTTGTATAGTATGTGGTAATCGAGATATATATTATATAAACTTTATATTATATGTTGTTAAGTATATCAATATAATTGGATTTTGGTGAAAATAAGCTGTGAAATCAATCCTCTTGTCAATCTAATCAGTCCTGATGAAAGAAAGAAAATTTTTAGAAGAAATTTTCTTTGAATTTAGACAAGTGATAAAAATAAACGAAATTATTATTGGTTAATTTCACTTGATTTTTGTGATATACGAGATAATAGCCAATGATTGGATTTTTTATCTATGCTAATAAAACCCAATTTCCAATTTTTTAGCTACAGTTATCAAACAAAAAGCTTGAAGCTTACTCTATCACTTATGGCGTTTAGATTTTTCATTTTCGTTTAATTAATTAATTATTTTATTTCAAAGTATTTTTTAACCTAATTTTTATGTCGAGCACAGCAAGTAAATCGTCATGGAGGAGATACATATGATTTATTTTTTTATAAAAGACATCATCATACTGCAACAAGCAGATAAATCCTTATTAATTTAAACTTTTTTTTCCCCCTTTTTCTCTTATAAACTAACATAGTTTAATTTTCTATTTGTGCAGCACAGTTCTTTGCAGACCAGTGCATTAACTGTAGCCATGCAATAAGCCATAGATATATGGGGCATGCTGCAACAAAACCAGACAAAGTGAACATTGTTATTACCAAAAATTTCAGGGATCAAAATTTAGTTATTATCATCATACAGTCAAACCTCGCCACAGTGAACCTTGCCACAGTGAATTTCTTGTCACAACGAATTTAAATATCGGCCCCTTTTTTTATTAATTAAAAATGTTTGTCATAACGAATTTTATTAATAAATTTGT